TTATTGCCACACTAGTAATTATTCACCCCTCAACTACTTCTTATGAGAAGTCAATAATTATGTTGGGTAAATATTTAAGGTAATAAAAAATAAATTTTTACAATTTTACTGTACTCTTCTTGTAACTGAAAATATAAATTGCTTGTCAGGTTTTACTGAATTTTATCCATCCTCATAATTTTTCACCCCCTATGCCACAGTTAAACATTAAACTGTGAAACATTAAACAAGCTACGAATTCACTTATAAATGTGAAATCTTTTTGGAAATACAAAAGAGCTTTGCTAGATTTTTACTATATTTTTACCAGTCTAGCCATTGTTTTCTCAACTACCTACCCTAATTAAAAACATTCTGAAACGTTACTTTGTGCTAACTAATATTTATTTGTTAAATGTTTTTAATATCTTTATTTTATTGAGTTTAATGCGTCGACAACTAATGGTCATTGGTATGGTACAGTGAATTTTTACAGTCAGGTACCTAGTGTAGCGTGTAGTGTGTGTGTAGAGTAATTGTCTTGATACTTAGCAAAGTCGACGTCATTGTCTTTGCCAAGAGACGATAATTATTGTATCCGAACGTCTGCGGTCCCTCCGGTGAGTACCGATCGCACAAGGATAGAAATTATTTTCATTTATTAATTTTTAATAAACGAAAATTTCTCCACCCTGGTGAGATTCGAACTCACGACCTTTAGGTTCAAAGGTAGGCGCTCTTACAACTGAGCCACAGAGGGGGTTATGTTTTAATATTGAAAATATAAAAATATTTTATTACAAAAATTATAAATTTTAACTGTTTTAAAAAAATGACTCTAATAATTATAGTAGGGAGTGCATGACTAAGAAAAATCGAATGGTGAGTCCCTTTTATGAATATAAAATAACTAAAATCAAGTTGTTTAAGAAAATATAATGGAATTGTTATTCAAATTGGAAATATTCAAATTGAATTAATCTTATTATGTCTATTACATTCATTACCTAATTGTAGAGGAGGGGCGGGACACCTTGCGCACCTATTGTTAAAAGATTAAAAGATTTGTATTTATTGGGTACATTCATAGATCTGAGTGTACCGCCAATTAACGAGTGAGGGCTGAAATCTTAATCGGATTTTAGATTGATACCGCCCTATTCACTATTATTTAACTTTTGCAATAAATTGTAAATATAGCGCCTCTGTACTGTTCCTGAGTACGGCAACACACTATTTAGCTAGCGGATACGTTTCCAAATAAATTTGCTTTAGTGGTACAATATAATCAGGGTGGTGAAAGTGTAGTAAAAACTTACCAGAACACTTTTTTATTTTAATTTTAAGTAGAGTACAGTGGAATATAAAAAATGCGCTATTAATTTTAACCTAACAGAATTATTGATTGATAGAGTACAGTAAAATTGTAAACATAGATTTTTCATCACCTTAAATTTTAATTTAAGAATTGTTGACTTTCCACTTGGGTTAGTTGAGGATGAAAAATTACTAGGGTGGATTTGTGAAAACCTAGCAGAACACTGTGATATTTCAAAAATAATTTTTATTAATTCCGCTGGCTCGAATATTAAGATAGCAGGAACATTTCCAAATAAGATTGGTTTAGCGGCGAAAAATTATCATGGTGACCAAAGTTTAGTCTAAACATAACAGAACACGTTTTTATTTATTTATTAGTGGTAATTTATTAAGTTACAAGTTATAAGTAGTAACTTTTGCATCTTAAAACTTAACCTAATAGAATAATTACATATGGATATAATTTGGAGTCATTCTTTTGGAATATTCAGTAAGATTGGATTTGTAAATGCTTCTGCTTTAGCTTTTGCTACTTCTACTTTAGATTCATTTTTAGCAATCGTAAAGATCTGTATCCGACCTATGTCCTCGCCACTGTTTATGTAATTTTCTCCTCTTCTTCATTTTTTCCACCATCAGGTATTTTTAATTTTAATATCCACTGATGAGAAAACCAATTTATTGTGTATTTTGTGGAATTTTTATTTCTTTTTGAGCGACTTCGAATTTTATTACCCTTTAATTATGATCTAATGCAGACTATTCTGAGATACGTCTTTGTCGATTTTATGTAAGTTTCCTTTGCTCAATTTAATTTAATATATGTATATATATATATATATATATATATATATATATATATATATATATATATATATATATATATATATACATATAGCAAAACTGCTAGGAATATTGACCAAAACGTAAATAACAATTTATTGTATTGGTGTATCGGGTATGCGGTCAGTTATTAAAAAAAAAATCTTTTTTCTTTTAATTCTCTATATTTCGCTGATTTTTTGTGAGCTTCATCAGGAGACAACTAAAATATGGTTAAAATTTATATAAATATCAGGTGAAAATAAACAATGAGTTACTTACAGATTTAGAGTTAAAAATATTTAAAAAAAATTGTTGTACATAATATGTTCAAAACAGTACTGACAATATTGGTTAAAAGCACCTAGTTCACTAGTAATTAAATATAAAACCGAGCAAATGAAATCAACCATGAAACAATTAAAACACAATAAAATTACGTATTAAAAATATACAGGGTGATTTAAAATATAATTGTAAACAGAATATTGCTTAACTGTCCCGTGTTTGCCTTGTAATTTACTGCATCTTTTTCTCTATTAATATGACACATTTCTAAAAACATTATTTTTTTATAATTATTTTCCTGCTGTAGAACCCTGACATTTAAATGGTCAAATTTATGCCCAGTTTTTAAGTAATGGTCAACTGCCGCACATGTATTCTTCTTTTTTGAACAGTCAGTTTTTGGTTGTGTGACCCTTTGTTTTAGCCATTGAGAAGTTTGGCCAACATAACAGCTCTGTCAATCCAAACAAGGTAGATTATAGATAACATTAGTTTTATTTACAGTTGGTGTCTTGTCTTTTACTTTAGAAAACAGTTGTCGGTTTTGTAATAAATTATATTGGACAATTTTAATGTTGTTAAATTTTTTAAATAAACTAGTCACAGATGGTGTTAACTGTTTTATTAATGGTAATTTTTTATATTGCACTGTTTGTACTGCTTCGATATCAGTTGGACCGTCAAAAATGTCTGAGTTAAATATCAATTTTTTAAGGATATGTTTTGGGTATCCATTATTTTCAAAGATGTTTAACAGCAAATTTAAGTTTCTGTTTATTAATTTATCGTCACTAATATGCCTTACCCTATTTTTCATTGCAATCACTGTATTAAACTTTTGATGAGTAGGATGATTTGAAAAAAAGTTTAAATATCTTCCAGAGTGTGTTTGCTTTTGATACCAATCTATCAATATTTTGTTTTGTTCAGTTCTTATTAATTTGGTGTCACGAAATGATATCGAACAATCATTTTCAATTTCTAAAGTAAATTGGATATGTTTGTTAAAGTTATTGGGAATGTTACTGAATTTATAGAGCTTACAATAGGTCTAAGTGATATACTTTCTTTATGAATTTTTGGTAAGCAGTAAAGTTTTGGACAAGATGCATTGTATATAGTCAGTTTTTTTGGCAAATTCTTGATTTATTTCCAAGTTATTCCTTATAGTTTTAAAAGTTCATTGTAAGAAAATTGTATCGTAATAGATGGATCTCTTTATAGCTGAAGATATGTAATTTTACCATTTAAAACTTTTTTCCTTCTGTTTTTTTTTAATATATTCGGTTTTGTTCATTGCTACTGCACATGCTCCCTTATCTGATTGTAAAATATAAAGACCTCAACAATTCTTAAAATCACATCCAGATCTTTAATTTTACAATCAGATAAGGAAGGGGGTACAGTAGCAATCAACAAAACCGAATATATTGAAAAAAAGAAGGCTTATTAAATAATAAAATTACATATCTTCAGTTAAAAATAGATTCAACTATTACGATACAATTTTCTTATAATGAACTTATTAAAACTATGAGGAATAACTTGATGGTGAGGAATAATTATATATATGTTACCTCAAAATGACATGTAGCAGTCAATGATATTAAATATGTAAAAAGCTTACAACATTTGACATTAAGTGATTATGTTGTATAAACAATTAATTGAAACTAAATACAGTTTACATATTAACTCAAACTTAGCACAGCAAAAGACCATGTATTAAGTTTCAATTAATTGTTTATACAACATAATCATTTAATGCCCAATGTCGTAAGCTTCTTTACATATTTAATATCATTGACTGCTACATGTCTTTTTGAGGTAACATTCTTATAATTACTTTTCTATGGATGTTTGGTTTTTCATATTGTTCTTTTTAGATGAACTGATGACGCTTTCTGATTAAAAACTGAAACGTCTTCAATAAATAGATGAAGTAGCCACCTTCTTTGTCTTTTTTATCTCCACCTTTTGACCGAAAAATCCACCACTCTTCGAGTGATCCTTAATTTATATTGGGTTAACGGTCGTACTCCTTTTCTCCATATATATATATATATATATATATATATATATATATATATATATATATATATATATATTTATATATATATATATATATATATATATATATATATATATATATATATTTATACATTCTATAGGCATATAGGTTGGGTTCAATACCTTAGATACTACTAATAGAAGTACACGACATTATACTCAAATTCCAAAAATTAATATAAAAAAATATTATACTTTTCCAAAATAAAACATATGACAAGGCATTAGATAAATGGATAGTTTAAAGTGGAATGCAAATACTATTGAGAATTCCAGTTGGAAGAGCAAATTGTTACAGAAAACTTAAGAAAGTAGACACCTCTAGGGACTTTAAGGATAGTAAAATTATTTTCTTAATTAGATAAAAAAAATTGTATTCGTATACTTACTAATTATACTTTAAATTAAGTAAAATGTAATATCGTGCGTAAACACTGTATAAAAATATTAGAAATGTATTTGTTGTAAATACTTACTTGTTTTCAAATTTACATAACAAACTAACATATTTTCTATTTCAGATACATAATGGTTGTGACCGAGATACCAGATCGTATAGCAGATACTTTTCATGGACGTACCATATTTATTACGGGTGTAACTGGATTTGTTGGTAAAGCCCTTTTGGAAAAGCTACTTAGAAACACAAACGTTAAAAAAATATATGTCCTTATTAGAACTAAAAAGGGAAAGACTCCACAAGAGCGATTAGAAGATATATTTAAAAATATTGTAAGTACAGTATAACTATATTTTATTTTAAATTATATAAATATTAAGTTTCCACGAATGGTAGTATAATTAAGAACGTTAACGTTGTGTCTAATATATGGAGCGTTAAAGCTAAAGTTAGACAAAGACAAAGGAACATCTGTATAAAGTTGTTCCATTTATCTTAATGTGAAATAAAAATGAGGAGGTCCCTAGACGCCTAAACCAAACAACACAACTGGTCAATATACTAAATAAGCTGGAATACTTCGTCACATTATGAAACACCCTAAAAAATATAAAGTTTTCATCTGATCATTTAGGGAAAGATTGAAGGTAAACGTGGTCCTTATAGAAAAATAATATCATGGCTAAAAAATCTAAGATCTAAAAGGCTAAAAGTACGGAAAATCGACTACGTCACTATTTAGCTGCTGTCAATAAAGTCACGATAGCGAATATCTTAGCCAACATGATATCAAATGATCGATAACGGCCACAGAACTAGCAGAAGAAGAATTACCTTTATATACATTGACGATAATTCGAATATGTTGGATTAGGATTTAGTTGAATCTCTTCACCATACCATCGGACAAAGTATTTAAGGTCATGGTTTTAGTCGTCACAATTTCTAGCATTTCACACATTTCTTAAAATGTATGTAAAATTTCGGTCTTGGTCGGAATAAATTTCTCTGAGAATTCCGAAACGACAAAACAAATTGTAAAGTAGGACCGCTAGATTTTAAAGTGGAATTATTTACATTTTCTGGATCTGAATATAGTTGGGCCACCATTTCAGACTCTATTTTCCGGTTTCACTTGAATTTCGTTAACTTTTTCTACAAAATTTACCTAGATCATTTTTTTAACATCCATAAAATAACGGAATGTCATAAAACATAAACATGGGCTTTAATATTTATTAATATAGTAGAGCGTCGGTTATACGAACGTTGATCGAACGAACAACCGCTTAGCCGAACTCCAGACAAAAGACGAGCATAAGTAACATTCTGTCTCAGCGTGATCATTCTGACGGATCCAAAAGTCGTATCACAATGAAAGTTAACTTAAACACGGACTTAGATGATGCTGTATATAAGTGGTTTACTCAAAAACAATTTCAATGAGACCCTATGTATGATCTGATTCTGTGTGAAAACGCAGTTCAATTCAACGAAAAACCCGGAGACCTGTCAAATTTTTAAGCAAACACAGGCTGGTTACAACGACTTACGTCGTGACATGGCGTTAGTGAGCTTCAAATACAAGGATAAAACTGTTTCGCAGATTAAGAGCAAAGCAAATTAATTCTAAATTAAATTAACTGAGTTACTGAAAAATTTGCCATGAAAAGCTCTCGCATATCGGCGGCGTATTGAATTAGCAGCACCTGAACTTAAAATAATAAGAATCGTATCACTGTCTTAGCTTGAGTTAATATGACTTTTTTTGCATCTTTAAAGAGAAGAAGGAAAATTTGCATACAGACACCTGTGACTTACACAGTTAGTGTTGGGTTCCTAATACTCTAATGAATCTGTACCAGGGTGAGATGCTCAAGGGATTTAGACCTTTGACATTCCGTCCCGTCACCACTCCAATACGGTCGAACTAAAAACCTCTTCTCTGTAACACCAGACATCAGGATAGAAGGGTCGGTTAAGGCAAATATCTCTCCTGATGTCCTGCTATCGCCCGATTCCGATTTTTTCTCAGACACAGTCATCCAGGAAACCACACCCACACGAACCACCAAAGACTTTCTACCTCCTGCCTTAGCGAGGCTGCCATCTCCCTCGCGTAGTATGTATCTCATTTACTTTTGTTTTGGCCTGCGACAGTTCGAACCCCACCAAGGTGCTACTCGCTTGTTTTAACATTCTGTTGAGAGTTCCCTCTCCTTTCGTTATTTTAAAGAGAGCAGCTTCTTGATAAATTTGTGGATCCGTATCCACCACCACTTATTCCTCATCATTTTCTTCACCATTTCTTTCATGGAATCGAACATTCTGCAGTTACACTCTCTTACAAACTTCTCTTTTTCATCCGCCCAACGCTCACACTCCAACATCGTGTGTATGATAGTATCCGAGAAACCACAATAAAGGCACTGATCGGACTGAGCCCTCCTAAACCTGGAAAGGTAACTGCGGAAGCAGCCATAACCTGTAAGCATTTGCTTCAGATAATATTCCAACTGCCTATGCTCACAATCCACCCAGCTTCGAAGGTTCGGGATTAGTGACTTCGTCCACTTCGCCACATCACGGGTTGCATCCCACTCTTGTTGCCACTAACCGATTGACACTAATCTCTTGGCCAGTCTTATCTCATTCATTTCTCAATCTCCAATGTTCCGCCCCTTACGACTATGAATCCTGGCCCTTTCACCTACCAGCATATGTAAAAGAACACAGCCGGTGATACCTCACAGAGCTAATATGACTGACAGCTACTGATTGCCCCAGATTGTCATTGGTAAAAGCAAGAAACTATGGTGTTTTAAACACATGAACATGTCTGTGCAATCTCTGTCGTTCACACTTCGTAAATGTAGTCATTTATAGAAAATTTTATATCCTGTGTTAAGTTTTATGGAATAGTTTATAGAAACTTTTATATCCTGTTTTTATTAATTACCTATCAATTAAAACAATGGTGGAAGAGAGAAAACATTATTACCTCTTGATAATACCCCAACTCGTCGATAATGGGATGAAAAAGACCTGTCCTTAGAAACTTACAAACTTAAAAAATTTAGTGACCTAGCCTCTTGTATACGGGTACACTTGCTTTGGCAGACGAGAACTGACGATATTTTTAAGTTATTAACACTTCAAAATATTTCATTTTCATCAATATTGCACCTAGAATATGTTTTGTTACAAAGACTGCACTTTCTATTGAATTCCTATTTGTCATTCAATATTAAATACATAAGTAGGTATGTAAATACAGCTTTCATTCACATGGGGATAAATATATATAACTATCTCAATACAGTTCTATTATCTGAAAAAACCGATTTTCCGAACACCCATGTCCCTCAATTAGTTAGGATAATCGAAGCTCTACTGTATTTAACTAACCAAGAAACAATAAGCTAGATTTATAATATTTATATTAATGTTGCGAACACCTTTAAAAGTATTTCAGTGTCAGTAACTTCTAAAATATGATTGTAGCTATACAGTAAATTATTATCTCAAAATCCAGACGCTCCCAAAAAATGTATAGCCATATCTGGTGATGTATCAGAAGTAGATTTGGGTATATCTGGAAGCGATCGACAACTAATTGTCAAAGAGACAGATTTTATCTTTCATAGCGCAGCTACTACGAGGTTTGATGATACTATCAAGTACGCTGTTACGGTAAACACTAGGGGTACAAAGTATATGTTAGATTTAGCAGCACAATGTACTAAATTAAAGGTAAGTAACTAAAGGTAAGGGAGGTAACACTGGTTACACGAAAAAAAAATTAGTTTGATATAGATCATATTTCCATCCAAAGCCTGTTATATTTTTTTCTTTCATTTATGTTTTATTAATGTTGAGTAAATATAATTTCTCATCAACAACATGACTAACTGCTTCAACTTTAGGAGATATATTTATAATAAAACAACATATTTCATCATCATAAGTGTCTCGACAATACGTTTTGGATCTTGGCCTGCCCACAAAGAAGTCGTCACTTCTGTCGATTCCTATCTCAACTTTCCTCCATGTACCCTTAGAACCTGTAGGTCTTCTTCCACATCATTATCCATCTGTTTTATTTTTTAAATGTTTCTAGAGATCTGAACAGTTCTGTTTGCTATTGCCATGCGTCTTTTTATTTTATCGCTTGTCGTGTTTGTTGCATTTACTAGCGATCCAAGATATGTGAATTTTTTAACTTGCTCAAAGGTATGATTGTTAATTTGACTTGTTTTTTGGATATTTCGGTTGTTTTAGAAACCAACATATATTTGTTTTTTTCCACGTTTTAGCGCGTCCCCCTTTCTTAGACCATTATTAATATCAAAGAATGTAGCGTTTTCTTCTACAATTCTAGTGCATGAGCTTACGTTTTGCATTGCTAGTTGAGTCAAGGCCGAAGATTTGACCTGGTAGGTGAATATGGACTAGGGGAGAGCAATGAAAGAGGCGATAGATTATACCAGTTCTGTCAAGAACATGACATGATAATCGCAAATACATGGTTCAAATTACACAAAAGAAGGTTATATACATGGAGGGGACAAGGAAATAATTCACTACATATGATTAGAAATCAGATAGACTATATTCTGGTAAACCAGAGATTTAAGAATGGCGTCACCAGAGTAACGACATATCCTGGTGCAGATATTGGTTCAGACCATAACCCTGTAATAACTGACATCAAAGTGAAGCTCAAAAAAGTCCAAGAAAGTCCCAAAACACCAAAATTAAATATATTAATATCCAACAAAAGGTTAATAAAACACGACTTAAACAATGAGCTAAAGAAACCAACAAATGAAAATAACATAGAAATATGGAACACGTTTAAAGATCTTACCTTGAATGTAATAGAAAATAAATATTCAACAACGTTACACAGGCACAAAAAACAACAATGGATGACTGATGAAATTCTGGAATTAATGAAGCAGGGAAGGAAACTGAAAGGTAACAAGACAGAATATAAGGAAAAACAGAAACTAATTAAACAAAAAATAAAGGTGGCTAAAGAAAAATTGATGGAAAATAAATGCAAGGAAGTAGAAAAGTTGAATTAACAACATGATACTTTTAATATGTTTAAAAAAGTTAGAGAAGTAGCTGGTCTTTATCATAAGAAAACTCCACATACTATAACCGATTCGTCGGGAAGAATGATACTAGACGAACATGAAATTCAACCAGCCTGGTGTAATTATATAAGTGAACTGTATAATGATGGTAGACCCGAAGACCTGGAGACTTTACTTGAAGGTGAAGGACCAGAAATACTAAAATCAGAAATACTGCATGCTATAAAGTTAGCAAAGAACAAGAAACCCGTTGGTCCTGATAACATACCGAGAGAGATGTTAAAGCTTATTAATGAGGAGAACATTGGAATACTGGTCAACCTTTTCAATGATGTTTATTCGACTGGTGATATCCCTGAAGATTGGTTAAAATCCGAATTCATAACACTACCAAAAAAACAACGTCCGAAAAACTGTAGCGATTATAGAATGATAAGCCTTACAAGCCACACTTTGAAAATATTTCTACACATCATCCACAGTAGAATCAGAGATTAATGTGAAGAAGAACAGGATGAAACACAATTTGCCTTCAGAAATGGACTGGGAACTCGGGACGCCCTCTTTGCACTAAATGTATTACTGCAGAAATGTCGAGATCAAAGGAAAGACGTCTTTGCTGTATTTATTGACTATGAAAAGGCCTTTAAGCGAGTACAGCATCACAAATTAATTACAATATTAAAAGATAAAGGAGTTGATAGTCAAGACATACGATTCATAGAAAAGTTATACTGGCGTCAAACAGCGACAGTAACAAATATTGGATTGGCTGGAGCGCCAATATAACAAGAATGTGTAGTGTAGCAATAGGGTAAACTCTAAAATGTACCTTGATACACCAACGAACTAATATGTGGACTAACAGAAGATGAAAGGGATTAGATAGAAATAAATTATGCGAAAGAAATAAATAAAGGATAAATATGAATTTTAAAAAAAAAATAAAATTAATGCTGGCTAGCGACTATGCAGGAGAATGACCACTTGACAATCAAAGAGGGATTCGGCCAATTTGCATGCCCTACAGAGACCGTAAGATGTAAGAATTAATGACTAGAAACTACCAAGAAATAAACAGAAGAAAGATAAAGTTGCTCTACTGAATGTTTGGGCGCCAGGAAGTTAAATGGTTTCTTCCGAGATATCTTGTATTGCTGAAATATTAAAGGATAGGTACCAAGTGAAATCTTAAATTGTTTTAACCCAACTTTAATAAAGACCTATTTTATGTACAAATTATTTAACCCCTTATATTTAACAATATAACCCAACACCTCTTATGTACAATTAACTAATCTATATTTACAGTAAAACCCTAAATATAATGATAAAACAGTTTCCCCTTTCCCAAATGTACCTATTTATGTGAAATGTTGACTCAGGTTATGCAATGGTTAAGTATATAATATAAAAAGAAATATATAATAATATAAACGTTACAATTATCAAATAAATGAAATAAACCTCTCCAGATATGTGTGCACACTATAACCTGATAACGAGAGAGTCCAGGGGAGTTACAATCTCAACCCTTGGTGGACAATAAATGTTTTACTAAATTTACAATGACTATTATTTTATAAAAATGAATGTAATTATTATTAAGTATATATTTTGAAAAAAAAATTGAAAATGAAACAAAAGTTAAACCTTGAAGAGGACGTTAAAAAAATTGCTACAAATATTTAAATCGACAAAAAAAAATTAGTTCTTCCTGTTAGTTTCTGCAGGTTTCCCTCGAGATCCTCTGGAAGAACTAGTCGCAGGTGGGTGATACGCCAAACCTGGACACCATATAAAAAAAGGTACTTTTAAATTAAGTCCTTACAATTCTTCTTAACCCAATTAAATAAAAATGACTGCTTATCTTCCAATTCCCAAAAAATTAAATAAAAGTTTTTTCTTCCCCCCAGACCTGCACTGGATTCCGGACGTAGGCTAAAAAAACACAGTTGTGTTACTACAAATCCTTGTTTGTACAAGAAAGTAAAAAAGAACCAAGAAAGGTCAAAGTTGCTTTTAAATTGACGCAAAAACTATGGTTTCTGAAAAAAAATAACCTTGGAATTTAGATTTGACAATGTTTGAACGGATAAATTAAATAGATGATTTTTACGGAAGCTATATAATCATAGAATGGGACAAAAACAAGGAAATATTAGCCGGTTTAAACGGTATGGAATTGAAATAGATAATTGTTGGCTTTCATCCTCGTAAAGAAATAAAATTTGATGTTATTATAAAAATTTATTACTTGTAATCTGTTTAGGTATTTATGAAATGAATGAAATAGTACATAGAAGATAGCAGATAGATAGATAGGTGGACAGACTATATTTTGAGAGAGGATTATAAATAGATTTAAATTTCACCAACAATGGCGGATGATAGGACGTGTTTTTACATATAATTTATTTGTAATTTAACTTACCGACTGAGAGTGATCCCAACTTAATGTATTTTCACCAAAACAAAAACAAAATAAAATAACCAACTGGGTTTTCTTCCACAAAATAATAGTTTCTTCCAAATAAAATAAAACTTAAACCAAACTCTTAAACGAGGGACTCTCAGTCGCCTGAATACGTCTCTTCAACTCAAGGAATTCCAAGCAAGTGCCGGTCTGATGGCGCTAACGCTGTTACCACGATCAGAGGCGTAGACAGAGGGCGTGATTTATTGCCAACTTTTAAAAATAAAATTTACCGAAGTTATTTAAATGTTTGGTTTAAGAATATTTCGAAATGAATTTAATTTGTAATTAAATTAAAGAATTCCAGTGACAAAGCAGTAAATGGGTATTTAAGTAACGGACTCGTTACATTCCCCTCTTACTTGGAGAAAAAAAAATTTTTAAAGTGAAAAAAATTTTTTTTTTCTTTCACTTGACTGGTTGGATAGATGTCGGTTAACCAATACTTCAACCATATGTGGAGCAATCAAGAATCGAGAAAAAAAATATAAACATATATATAAAAAATTATAGCTATGGCACCAATTTGCCAAATACAGCTATTATATTAACTCACTATCATATTTCCAAAACAATCTACATCGATTCACACGATTTTAATTAACCACAGATTATGAGTGATGTATAAATAAAGAAAGGGTTTCATCTAAAGATACCCACATGTATTTAAGTACGAAGTCACATACTATCTAGAGTAAAATTAAAGTGAAGTAAAGCTCTAACATAGCATAGTATAGACTAGCAATAGAAATACTCAATACAAACAATCCAATGTAATGTGAAATCGGACCCTGGTTCCAAAATTGACTCATCGATGGACAACAGATTTATAGGAGAGCATATCCAAGGAATAATCAATCAGGCAAATAGGTGGACCGATACACAATAATAAGTAACAATAAAATACTAAACGTATATAAAACAATATACGTAGCAATAAAAATACCAAATAGGTATATGTAAACCAATATAAGTGTCGAATTGGATGGTAAATCCAAAATTGACCATACAGTGGACAACAGATTTATAAAGTAGCATGTCCAGAGGTAATCAATCAGGCAAATAATGACCCAATTCACACTATAACCAAATAACCAAATAGGGTAGGTCCACATATACCCACATCCGGTAATATGTGCCTAACCTAAAAATTCATCAATTAAATTATTGGA